AGTGTGTTTGTAGAAAGCAGCTGGTCTATAATGTTTATAAAATGGTGAGAGCACAGTGCTGGTAAGTAGTAGGCTCAGTCTCTTGCTGATGTTGACTGAGTTTAACCCCATTCCCCTAAGGCTGGACCATCTGCTGCCTCTGCCTCGTCTTATAGCTTCAGTTTGCCAGCATCTGGTACACTACCTTAACTTAGCAGACACTTGGATGTTTGTTGAGTTCAAAGATAATTGTGTCCTAAACCAGGAGATCAGAAACCTAGCCATTTTAAATTTTTGTCAGGAGAGCTCAGTCTTTTTTCAGATAGTGTCACTACTTGGGCAACTCTGGAATGAAACAAACAAATGTTACCTTTATTATTACTCTAGTAGAAGGAGGTTATTTTAACAAGGTGCCACAAGTTTGGACTTATTCTAAACTTTATTACCCAAATCTTGTCAATCTAGATGCAGTATTTTAAGGATAGAAGTGTTGCATTTTAACCAGCAGATGTCCTTATTGTTCAGCAAGATTTTTTTTTTTTTTCCCAGACCAGTATCTACAACAGTAGATGGGAATTCTGTGCCTTTAATTTGTTAGTGATAAGCTGTGGTAGACAAATGACAAGCCTCAACAATAGTAAAACCAAAGGGATTATGCTTTGAAATTCAAATGTGAAAGGCCCTCTCACATTTAATGACTTGTCATTGATTAATTCCCTTCTCTTTTATTTGATGTATATCTAATTCCCTTGCCCAGAATATGCAGTGACAGAGAAAGAAACAAGGAACCTGCATAACCTTTATAGCTTCCAGGAGTTTGCACATTTGTGATACACCCATTCCTCCCTTTCGTTCAGCAGACCTTCGTGAGCATGTCCTTTGTATTGAGCACTGTCCTAGGCATAGGGAATATGGTAGTGGTCGAGAGACAAGGGATGAAGGAGCTTACATTATAGTAGTTTTTTTCCAACGTGTCTTTGTATAAAACTCTTAGTTAACTCTTGCAATTTACTAAATTATTGCAACTGCCCATGAAACTTGCTCATAATTAACAAATCAATGAGGGATTAAGACAAAATATGAATCAAATCACTTAGTATCATCAGATTGATCTAAACTGCAAATATTAGGAAAGATGGACCAATTTCTTGGTCTTGCTTAGTCAGAGCACTTTGAAACATATCTGGCAAATAGTAGGTGCTCAAAAATGTCAGATATTATTATTTGTCTTTATCCATCATAACAAGAAATAATGAAAAGCAGGAAAAGAGAATTGTTGCCTTATTTGTTGAGTAGGATTTCTTAGGGCAACAATTTTATTTCAGTGAAGAGGATTGGGATATAAAAAATTCTTTTTTTTTTTTTTTTGCGGTACGCAGGCCTCTCACTGCTGTGGCCTCTCCCGTTGCGGAGCACAGGCTCTGGACGCGCAGGCTCAGCGGCCATGGCCCACGGGCCCAGCCGCTCCGCGGCATGTGGGATCCTCCCGGACCAGGGCACGAACCCGTGTCCCCTGCATCGGCAGGCGGACTCTCAACCACTGCACCACCAGGGAAGCCCTAAAAAATTCTTTAATATATTAAGATTTATATTGAAATCATAATAGCTAGCAAGTAGTCTTTCTAGATATCTTTTAAACTTACTTTAAATTGTGTTTCATAGTGGCAGTCTATTGCTGAAAGGTATGGAAAGGAATATCATAAGTTTGATTGTTTTACAT